TTTTATACTTTTTTTTAATTAAATTTTTGTTGGCTCCACAGTTGTTGGCATATCATGGAAATATTTTGAGGTCTCAAATAATTATAAAAATTTAAAATGGCCTCCCTGGTTTCTAACAAATCAATCAACATTTTTAATGGGACTTATTCTGAACGCCCAAGATTGGCAATTTCCAATTCTAGTGGTATATAGGCTTTGGCACAACACTTTCTGCTACAATGGCTTTATTGTTCATTTCTATTTCTTCTGGCCTCTGCCCCATCTTCTCTGGAGTGTGGGTTTGCTTATTTATCCCAAACGAGGAGAAAGAAACATTGCTCTTACTCTGATTTGTTGTATGTCTTTAGAAACACCAAAGAAGCCCTGGACTTGAAGCAAGGGTGTCCATCTGTCTAGGGTGGGGACCCAAAAAGGCACTCGAGCTCTCTGAACTTCAGTTTCTTACAAGCAAACTAAGGAGGGATGGTCCTCAATCATAGCATGCAATCCTAATTAAGCTAAAGAACCAGTTTGGGGTGTAGTTTGATCATTAGGTCACAGTGCCATGGCTCTGTCCCTGTCCTTCTCTCTGCTCTGTCCTTCTCTAGGGGTCAGTTCCCACCCACCCTATTCCCCCAGCTCCCATCCCTTTTTCTGGCTCCTCCCTCTCTTGGTAGCAAACCCCACAGCAGTATGTTCAGGCTTCTGTTCCACACACTACGCACCTAGGTCACATGGCCAGCCTAAATGGTTACACTGAACATATAAAAGCAGCCAGGGCTCCTCTGGAGGGAAGGGAGAGGCCTAACTGTTCAGAGAGGGCAGCAGAGCCCTGGAAGGGAGTCTCTTCCAAGTGAAGATCTGGGCACTACTTCTGGGAGAAGGAGATAGAGGAATTGAAGCTGGGAAGCCTCCACCATGTGGCTTCTGTTCCTACACAGGTCCTAGGTTAACATCAAAACCACATGAGAGCATGAAGACAGCAGTGCCCTCTGCCTATAAATTGCTGGACAGGACCTGCAAAGTAGGGTCCGGGGAATAATTTGATTCCTGTCACTTTCAACATCCCTACAGAACTCTGAGCCTTGGTTTCCCCATCTGTAAAAGGAGAATGTCACTTAATCGTGGTGTATGCTCATTCAGATTTATTTACTCTAAATAGTTTTTAGCTGAATCCATGCTAGAATTGAGTCAGCTGTTATAAAACCAGTTTGAGCTGGTAAATTGGAAGGTCTTGTTTGCAACCTTAAGAAAACCACCCCTAGGCACAGCAGTAAGTTTCAAGTAACCAGAGCGCTGAGATTTCAGATGGAAGGAATGCTTTGTGAACCAAATTTTTAGTAACATATAGAAAATCAAATTCATCTGTGCATAAGTCATCATGCCCTGAACCCTTAATCTCCATATCTCTGATGCAGAAAGATTAATCTTAGAAGGAATAACTGACAACCCATTGCCTGAGGCTGCAGAGAAAATGAAAATGTCCTCTTCAAATGTGATTCATATTACAATACTTATGTACATTCTTTGCTATCTGGTCTTGTTTGAATGAAAGGGACTTAGTCACTATTCTGTTAGAGGGCATGCTTTTTTTTCTCCACTTTTTTTTTTATTGTATCACTCTCTGAATTGTTAGAAGATAAAAAGAGGCCTGTTTCTTGCTAACACAATCTTATCTGCGAGCCAGGCATTCCTAGGAGGTAGTATGGCTCAGTGGGCTTTTGTCAGATTGTCCCATGACCAAATTCTGACTCAGCTATTTACTTAACCTCTTCAAGCTTCGGTATTCTCATTAGAAAAGCTGGGGTGATAACAGTGCCCACTTTACTGTAAGAAATAAATGAGATAATGTGTTTTAAATGCAAAAAGTAAGACATTATTTAATTTCTGAAATGGAAGTAATGCACTTATGTTGGGAAAGTAAGTACCAGGGTAGGCTGATGCACACATTCTAGTTTTAGACCTTGCTCCATCCTAGCTTGCATGTCCCAAAACACAAGGGACCTGGAATAAGAGTGCTGACAGAGGTGCCTAGCTCATGAGTAACCTGTTTTTCATCCTACTCCAACTCGGTCCTATACAGAAGGATCATGTACACATTCCTGGACATCTCAACCTGTATATCCAAGTTCTGTCTATACACCCCTCTCAGTGCAAAGACAACTCCTTACAATTAGGACTATATACACCTGCCTGCCATTACCTCTAAGAGATGGGCAAGTGAAGTGGCTGTGTTATCTATGAAAGCAAGCTGAGCCATTTGAGCAGAAACGTCAAAGTTCCTGGAATCAATAATCTGGCCTCTAAAAGAGAATGAGGAGCCTAGGTGATTACATCACCTTGACCTCATGGATATCTCAACCTGAGGGGGGCGTACAGCTATAAGAGTGTCAAAAGTGGGTTGGGGGGGGCTCAAAAGTATGGGACCCAGGAGAGAAGACCCAGGTGTCTGAATCTAATAGTGGTGCTGATGTCCTCTCTTGAAAACTTGTCCTTTAAACAGTTGAATGACTAAAGTCATGTTTTTAAAATAATAGCTTTATTGAGATATAATTAACATACCATACAATTCACCCACTGAAAGTGTATAATCCAATGGGTTTCAGCACATCCACAGAGTTGTGCAACTAGCACACACTCAACCTGTGTAGCCCAGAGACAGCCTGAGAGGGGGAGACTGGTGCTGCTCTTCCTCGGGGCATCTCTCTAAGTCTTATGTCATCTTAGTGTGTCAATGAACTGATTGATTCTAATACCAAAGATCACAAGGTATCACAAGGCTCCAAAGTGCAACCCAGTATCTTCATTGGTTTTATGGTTTAGATATGAGGTGTCCTTCTCAAACTCTGGTGAGACAATGCAAAATTTTCCAAGGTGAAATGATTAGATTATGAAAGGTATAATTTGATGGCTTAGTGAGTGGATTAATCCTCTAATATGGATTAATTAGGTAGTAACTGTAGGCAAGTAGAATGTGGCTGAAGGAAGTTGGTTACTGGGAGTGGGGGTGTGCCTTTGAGGCTTATATTTTGTTCCTGGTGAGTAGAGCTTTCTCTCTCTCTCTCTCTCTCTCTCTCTCTCTCCCCCCCTCCCTGCCCCCTTCTTGGTTGCCATGTCCTGAGCTGTTTCCTTCTGTGTGCCCACTGACCATGATGTTCTGCTTCACCCCCAGCCCAGAGTTATGGTCTTGGCCTACCATGGACTGAACCTCTGAAACTGAACCAAAATAAACTTGTTCTCCTTCTTGTCAGGTCCTTTGGTCACAGCAACAACCAAAGCTGACTACACCAAATGGGGTTCAACTAAGAAATAGTGTTCTTAGCCAGGTGCAGTACCTATAATCCCAGCAGCTCTGGAGGCTGAAGCAAGAGAATTCCAAGATCAAGGCCTGCCTGGGCAACGTGGTGAGCTGCCCTGATTCCATGCCAAAAAAGTGGGGAGAGGGGAGATGTTGAGAGCCACAGCCAAAGGAGCCAATCAGCTAGATGTTGCTGGGGCCGCTGTGAGCCAATCATCAGCCGGCAGCCAATCATCAGCCGGCAGCTGGAAGTTTGCTGGGGCTCCTTTGGTTGTGGCTCTCAACATCTCCCCCTCTCTGTTTAAACAAGCATGTGGCTTAGGGACCGTGCCTGCCTTAGGTTGTCCAATACTACATATGGACAACCTAAGGAAGTGACATTTTTCCAAACTGAAGGGAAAACAGCCTCCAGATTCCAAGCAAGAGGAAGATATCATTTCACTTTTTGCAGGAGCACTGGAAGATCACTGCAGTCTGCCCTAGGATACTAGTGGTGGCTTGGTTTCTGCAGGCCTGGAGTATGCTTTGATTTAGAATCAAGTCAATTTGTGTCGTCATCTGTAGCTGTGGTCTCCTCAGTTCTTACAGTGGTGCATTGTAATAGTTATAAAGCAAAATAAAACTTGGCATCTCCATAATGGTACCTGTCCTTCACTATCTAAACCTCAGCTCCTGAGTTGGGTTGGTTCATGCAGATCAAAAGGAGTGCCAAGTGAGCCAAATTCCTGAGTTTCCCACAGCAAAGAGTCAGAGTCTGGATGACAAGGAATTCATCCTAAAATATAATGAATTAGTTCAATCTTTGAGTTCAAAGATTATGGATTTATTAACAAGGCTAACTATATATTTACTTAAAATTATATATGTGTGCTTGTGTACTGAAATATTTATAGATATTATAAAATCACACAAAATAGTCACTTTCGGTAGATGAATATATAAATGCAAAAAAGATTGTCATCATGGTGGTAGTCATTGTGGTAGATTGTCATCTCATGGAGGGGGAGTGTCTGCTCTGAAGATCATCTTGGGCAGCTGAGAACCAAGAGCATCCAAGGGTCATGTTGCAGAGTGCAGATAGAACAGGCCAATGTCCCTCACTGAGCCTCAGAATAATTCTCAGCTCTCGTGAATATTAGCACAGCCAGTGCTTGGGATGAGTGCCTTTTCTTCTTGTAGCCTCATTTTATCACTTTGTGAGTTTTGATGGTATTAGCAAATTTGTAATAGCTTCTCCTTCTCTGCTTCACAGTAGATCAAACATTAGCATTAAATGGGCAGTTTATGATTTTTCCTTAAAATAGAATCCTAATTGTGTTTAAAACTACCTTCTCCCTGGGTGGATTTTCAATAATAATGGCCCAAATGCTGTAAGGTTTCTGTCCTTCAAGAAGTAACAGGCTAGATCTGGCTTCTACGGAATTCCAAATAAGTAGCTGGCCTTTTCTGACCCTGAGGGAAGCAAGCAGACTTCACATGAACTGAAGTTACCATGTATTTGAGATTTTGGATTCAACTCAATCAATATTCTGTACATTTACCAGGTTCATGATCCAACAGTTTGCTTGAGCCTGAGGTTCCACTAGCATTTGGGTAGTGAAAGCTTTATTTGTATGGTTAATATATAAGAACCAGGTCTTCAGATAACATTCATACTTTTTGTTCCATCGGTGCTGAAAGCTCTGTCTTTGTCCCCATGCCAATCCAATAATAAAGACACAGAAAAAGGAAAAAGGTTTATTGCTTTGCTAGCAAAAGAGAAACAAAGGGGACTCCTGTCACAAAGGCTGTGATTCTGCCCATCCGCAGGAACAGGGGGCTTTTAAAGAGGTGATTCAAAGTCTACATTCCACGTGTTCTCTGAAGGAGCTGTGATTCACTTCATTTGGTAGATAGTCATTTCTGAGATCTTCTGGTACCATCCCCAAAGCCTGGATTATGTCATTCTTATGTTGGGTGTATACTTAAGGACAGATAAATCTGCCTAAAATGGGGATGGACAGGTAAATCAGTTTTCCAGAAACTGAGATTAGGGAGGGGGAGAGATTAGGGAGGAGGAGCAGGGAGAGAGGAAGAGCAAGAAACATGTCCATTTTAAAAGCAAGTTGCTGTGGTAGAGCAGCAAGGGCTATATTCAAAGCATAAAGTGGACCGTGGAACACCGTCTTCGTATCCAGTTATCATAAAAGGAACATCAGCTCATCTCTCATCATGGTCTTTGTGTATATTTTAGTAGCTCAAGATCTTTATGATGGTGCTTGGAACCATCATGTATAAAAAGACACAACAGGGTTACAATCATTAGGGACAAGAGTCCCCATCCCAGCTAGGGGGATCTTCTCTTCCGTAGGGCTCCCAGTTCACTTCTTTGTATACTAAAAGGGAATACCTGGGGAGAAAAGATGGAACACCTAGACCAAAATTTCAGCTCTGCAAGAAACTATATGAATATGTGACTTTGAGCAGGGTGCTCCATCTTTCTCTGCCCCTATTTTTAAAGATAAAGTCAATAATATCTTCTTCCTAGAGTGATAATGAACCTCAAATACAAATTTCAGCTCCTGTTTTACTCAAGCACTCTGCTTCAAGCGCACCCATTTCCTGGGCAAGAATAGGGGCAGCTCTGACCATTACTGTCAACCCAAGCCCAGGTACAAGGTGAGAAGGCATTTCTGACTATGGCTGCTTCTTGGCAGCAACATCAATGGGCAGAGCAAACAGAAGACATGGAGCGGCCCCTGGAGGACTTATGGTGGATACTACTCCTTCCCATATGCAAGAACCCACTGGTCCCCAGAACCTCAGATGCTTTTCATAAGGTCTTACCAACTAGTCTGCTTTCTCTAACTGTATTCATAACTTTGTATCTACTAACTACATTTCCTGTCTTTCCCTCCTCCCACAACAGAGTCTCTCTCTTAATTCTCTTTCTCATCAGTACTTCCCCACTCAATGAAAATGATTTTCAATATGGTTTGAAATGATCATAAACTGCACCTTAGCCACTGCCATTGTGTTTTGTATCAATCTGCAGAAATTGTACATATCACACCTTCTCACATTCATTTATCCTCACTCCAAGCCAGTTTTAATTTTTCCTTTGTCTTCTTTCAACTATAACTGACCTACACCTCACTGTTCCCCCGTCACCCCTGAAATGTAAATCCAAGACAAACCCTGATGGTGCCTTAGCAAGGACTGTTTGACTTTCCATCGCCTTGTCCCGTTTTTACTAGCAGTCAATTTTTGTTTTCCCAGAACAAAGCCAAAATTCCAACCAGATACGCTGCTCCCTGGCACCTGTTCATTAACAGACTATTCACCACTTGGAATAGTCAATTACAGTTGGCAAGGAGAACTCCCAGCCCTGCTCCACCCTCCAGGGTGGAGGCAGATCACACCTGGACTCAATTCTGTGGGATGACCACTTGCTCTTCTCCATCCCCACTGGTTCAGAAGTGCACAGCTTTGTGAACAGGGTGAGGTCAAGGGTCCTAGCTGGGATTGTTTCTAAGGGTAGCCAATGGGAGGGAGGTCGAACCTCCTAACAGGGAGTGTACACAGCTGGTGACACAGCTGTGGGTCTCCCATCCACCCAGACTCTTGGGCTACGGGGGTTGTGAGATACACAGCTGGGAAATGTGGGCAAAGGAAGACAGATGTGGCAGGCAGCTCATTGCTCAGGCCTGACTCTCCCACCCCTCCAGCGTCGTAGGCATCTGCCAGCACCCCACCCTTCTCTGGAAAGGGTGAGTTATTGACTGTGAAGGAAACACAAATAATAGAGGTTATTTCCGTGCAAAGGCAACACGAGATAGGGTTCTCTTTTAGGTAGTAAGTCTTATCAACAATGGCTTCCCTAAGTGCCTCCAAAGTGTCTATCCATTAGAGCCAGAGGAGGTGCTTTGATTCTCCCTCAGAAGAGAGAGCAGTTTAATAAATCAGCAAGTGCTTGGAGCATCTAAATCCGATAATTGTGAAGTGCAGATAAATCACTGCTGTCAATGCTGCCTGTAGACTTGATTCATTCAAAAGAGTTAAAGTCAAGCCCCATCCTCCTACCCAGGAGAGGGATGCACACAGCTCAGACCCCTGCCACCCGCCACAGTGTGACCCAGGGATGGGCCTCGTTCCTGAATGACTATTGGGACATGAAGGAAGTTGAGTTACAGCCCGAGATGACCCATTCTCATGACAAAGGTGGAGGAAGCTCAGCGTGAATAACTCATTGTCCCGTCCGGCTGTGCATTGGGTTTCAGCCCTGGAGCTGCTGAGGCAGACCCCAGGCACTGGCGTTATATGTTGGCCGCCCAACTGGGCCTTCCAGCTCGTTATTTGTGGTTGATTTGCTCACCAGCAACGTGAAGGCATGAACAATGGTGCAAGATCAAAGCTGGAAATTTAGTAGATTCAGACTGAGCCAAGACTGGAAGGGTGTTTCTATTTACTCCACCAGATTCTTTCTCATACAACACAGGCCATTCCCACCCCCTCCATTCAATTCTAAGTAAGTTTCATGTGAAATGCAAGAAAGTGTGGCCCTTATATTTATAAACATGCCAACTTGCAAATGGTTGGGTAGGTATTTGAATTATTGATTGTTAAATATTTAAGCTGAATTCCTCATCCATCAGTTCTCGTGAGAAGCCAGGGGACAGATTTACGATGCTGGAGTTTTTCTGGTTAGTTGGCAGTTGGCATCTCTATTAATTATAGCTCACCCGGTAGGTTCTGCAGCCTTCATCGTAGGCACTCAGAAGTGGCGTCTCTATTATTCCTTTGAAAGAAGGTTTGTGCAACAACAGCCCCTGAAATGGAAAAAGAAAGTAGCATGCCATCTCTGAATTACTGCTACCATTTTCTGAGGTCTTGGTGGGTCCCACTGGGTCTCTGAATAGAGAGTGTCTCTGACTAGTTAAAAGAGCAACATTCTCAGAGGCAGATGGGTCTGCATTTTTAGTTCCAGCTCCCTCATTTCTGGATTGTGTGAATAATTTACCTCATCCTCCTGAATCTCAATTTCTTTATCTAAAAAAAGGGGGGGGAAACTAATAATAAACTGACTATAAACAGAAATGTGTCTACATATACATATGTATGTGGGGGACCTAGATAGTCAGGTAGAGAGTGCCCACCAAATAATGATAAACAGCCACAGTTCTTAGGGATTATCACATGAGCTCCATAAGGAGATAGGTTCTAGTTTGTTTTATTCACTGTTAATCCCCATTGCCTAGAACAGTGCCTGACTCAGAGAAGAAATTCAACAAATATCTGGCCTTCTAAGTTTCATGGGCTGTGTGACCCTGTGGAGAGGGGCAAATGCTCTCTAGAAGGTTCCTGGCTGTCTCCACCACAGGGAGATGTCCAAGGTATGTTGAGCTTCACAATGAAAACTCAAAATAGAGTGACCTTCCCACTCCAAATGAGTGGCGGCTGCAGGAGAGGCGACGGGCAATGTAGAAGCTCATGGAATTTTCTCAAGGGTGGGACAAAAGTGTAGAGTGTGGGGAGGAGAACACACTGAGGTGTTCAGGAAGGAAGGGCCCCCTCACATCTCTAGGTGGGTGGCTGACATATTGACACCATCCTCTTCCCAGAAGAAACCCTCAGCAGGAAGGGGAGAGAAGGAGCTGCTCTTGGAGAACCCTGTTCACCAATTGAACCCATAAGAAGGATTTGAGGAGGAGCTATGGTGTTTCTCTGATTAATGTTGGAATAGTGTGTGTGTGTGTGTGTGTGTGTGTGTGTGTGTGTATGTGTGTGTGAGAGAGAGAGAGAGGTGAACAGACATGTAAATCATGAAGGCAGGGGCTACACCTTATTGATTCGCACAAAGTCCAGTACATAGCAGCTACCCTGCCATTCTTTGCTAAATGCAAGGATATTCTGGTCCTGTCCCCCACACAGAATAGCTAGTATGACTTTAGCTTCCTCTGAGCAGGCATGATGCTAAGCAGCTTTACTGTAGCTGCAAGTATTAGCAGCCCACTTCATCAATGAGGAAACTGAGACTCCAGAAGTTCAAGTCGCACTCCAGCAGTTATGTGGCCAGCGAATAGAACGGGCCAGCAGCCACACATTGACTCGGATGCCAGCTCATGTTCTCTGCAATACACCATGCTGCCCCGAAAAAAGGGAGCACCTCCACATGCTCCAGCTACACCCACCCCAGGGTTTCCCGTCAGCACCATTGACATTTGGGGCCAGATAATAGTTTGCGGTCAAGGACTGTCCTGTACAGCATATAATGTTTGGTAGCATTCCTGACCCGTACCTACTAGAGCCAGCAACTCCTTCTCACCCTTTGTGACAAACAAAAATGTTTCCAGACATTGTCAAAGTGTCCCCAGCTGGGATGTGGTAGGACCACAAAGTCTCCCACTGAAGGAGGCCCATAGCTGTCTCCACCACAGGGAGATGTCTGAGGTATGTTGACATCTGTGCTCCCCTGACTCCTGCTGTGCTGGTTTGGATCTGGAATGTCCTCCAAATGCTCATGTTCTGAAGGCTCAGTTCCCAAAGCAGCGGTGTTCCCAGGTGGGGACTTGGGGAGTGATCAGATCACAAGGGCTCTAATCTCCTCAGTGGATTAACCCACTGATGGATTTATAATTTGATGTTATTATTGGAAGGTGATGAAAACTATATAGGAGGTGGGGCCTATTGAGAGCCTCTTCCTCCCTCTTTCTCTCCCCCTCTACTGACCATCCTCCATGAGGTGAGGAATTTTGCTCTGCCACACCAAATAGAGCCAGCCAACAATGGACGAACCCTCTGAAACCATGAGTCAAAATAAACCTTTCCTCCTCCAACCTGATTTTCCCAGGTGTTTTGTTACAGCAACAAAAAACTGACCTCACAATCACCTTTTCATGACTAAGTAGGGAGAAGCTGATCTCTTGGGACATCAAGCCTCAGGTATCCAGTTGCCTCTGGCCATTTCTTTCTGAATGTCCGTCCCTTGGATTTTCAACCCTAGAACCCAGTTTCTCATCCTCTCCTGACTCACATGCTCACCCTCCTGTATGCTCATGCTGCTTCTACAGAGTAAATGCTGGTGTTCCTGTCCCCCATTCGCATGTTGAAATGCTAATCCCCAATATGATGGTAGTAGAGAGTGTGGTGATGATATAAAAAAGAAGTGACTATCTGCAAATTGGGAAGCTGGCCCTCACCAGCACCAAGTCTGTAGGCACCTTAGACTTGGCCTTCTGGCCTCTGACACTGAGAAATGAATGTAGTTTAAGCCACCTAGTCCATAATATTTATTGTACCACTCCATACTGCCTTAGACACCTGCCTCGGGTGGATTGCCTAGTTGGCAATCTTTGGGTCTTATTTATCCCTCCACTTATGCTTATTCACCCTCAACAACAAGTCAGCCCCAAGTCTTCTGTTTGACCTTTTTAAAAACTCTCAAGTTTGTCCACTCGCCTCTGAATCCCGCCCTGTGCCTTAGCATGCCCCTCCTCTCAGTATTTATGAGAAACAAACTACCTTTTCCATGGTAATACTCTCCTGATCTGTTGGTCTCCAAATATTGTACTGATATTAGTAAAACTTACATTTGAAAATAGAACAATAAGTGAAACATCCTCATATACACACATGCCTACCTATATAAATGTACAATAGGCCTTCTACAGACTCAATGCTTATGTCTCTGCCTTCATTGACTTGCTATGTGTCAGCACTGTTCTAATTGCTTTACATGTTACGTAACTCATTTCATTCGTACAACAACCTTTGAGGTCTGTACCATTTATTATCCCCAGATCATAGCTCAGGACATTGAGGTATAAATGTTTAAAGAACCCTTCTGGGTTCACGTAACTGGTAAGTGGTAAAATTGGGTTTTGAAGCTCTGAATCAACAGAATTTTCTGCAAGGAAAGAAATATGTTCTATCTCTCTGTGTAAATGGTAGACACTAGCCACATGTGGCCATTGAATGGGGTCATCCCAAGGGGATGGGCTCCAGGATCCCCCAGATACATCAAAATCCATGGATACTCTGAAAGTCCTTCATCTAAAATGGTGTAGTATTTGCATATAACTGATACACATCCGCCTTTAATCATCTCTGTTACTTATAAGACCTAATACAATGTAGTATGTAAATAGTTGTTATACTTTATTGTTTAGGTAATGACCAGGAAAAAGGTCCAGACTTGTTTCATACAGACTCAGTTTTTTACTAAATATCATCCACTGTGGGTTGAATCCATGGATATGGAACCCACAGAATCAGAGGCCCAAGTATACTTGAAATGGGACTAAGGAATTTAATTTTTAATTTTGTATTTTCATTGATTAATATTTAAATGTCCACATGTGGCTAGTGGCAGCTGTATTGGACAGTGAAGATCCAGCCCTGTCCTCTAACCACCACACCTTGGGAAAATCGAGTAGGCTTCCCCCCCCCCAGGGTTTCTCAGAGCCTTTGTGTGTTAATGAGCATTGTGAAACCCCAAAGGAATACAACATCCCCAACAGCATACAACCTCTTCTGTTTCTCTGGAGATGACAGGTAACTTTTGCCCTTGCCAGGGAATGTCTGGGGGGCTGACACCCACAGCCAGAACAGGTGCCTTCCCACACAGTGCAGTAGAGGCTGCCTGGAACCCAGATTCTGTCCCCAAACTTCTACCAGTAATAGAAACTCCCCTGGCATAGAAACAGAAATGTTTCCTCCCAAAGTACAGAGGAGGCAAGAAATAAAAATTACCTCTGAACATATTTCTATTTTAACACAAGTTAAATCCATTAATTAAGATGGATACTGGACAAGTTACAAATTAGCATCTTGTGTCAATGTTACTCAAAGTATCATCCCCACCTCCAGCCAGCAGTTTCCATTGCCTGGAAAATGGTCAGAGGCAAGTTATCAGCCCAGTTCATTCCTACTGCATCAAGGCCTGGGACTAGGGCCCAGCAATCTGTTTTAACAAGTCCTCCAGGTGATTCGCTCAAGTTCGAGATCATCTACATAAATTATCTAATTTAATCTATAGAGCTGGAGAAAGAGCGCCGCAGGGAATTTAAATAACATGCTCAAAGTTATACAATAGGGACATTTAGAGCTGGAACGTGAGCTCAGTTCTCAAGCTGCAGTGGATCCGTATCTGCATGCAGTGAGGCCTTCCAGATCCTCTGGGGAGCCCCAGCTGCTGGTTGGCCCTCTGCTTTGTGCTGGCCCAGGACTCTGAGTGGGGCAGTGGCCATGGTGGTGGTGTAAAGAGCCAGCCATGTGCTCTTTTCTTCCCGACCCTCCCTGCTTCACCTCCTGTGGACAGTCCCCTGCCTGACCAACAGTCCACAGTAGGCAGCATTTTCTGTCTTTCCCTCATCTCCCTCCTAAGGCTTATTGTGGTTGTTTGTGTACTGAGGATGGAACCTAGAGCTGCTTTACCAGGGAGTCACATCCCCAGCCCTTTTAATGTTTTATTTAGAGATAGGGGATTGCTTATGGCTTTCACTAAATTGCAGAGGCTGGCTTTGAACTCATGATCTTCCTGCTCAGCCTCCTGAGTTGCTGGGGTTACTGGTGGGCACCACTGCGCCTGGCTCCTCCTCAGGTTTGTATCCACCCCTGCTCTCTCATGTAAAGTAGAAATGTAATAAGCATAGGGAGGGGGGGGTTGGAAGAGAAAGGGGCTCCACAGCTTGAAAGAGTGAATGAAAAGGGTTAAGTAGATTTTATTATTGCAACTGGTTCAGCTCCTTTGTTAGGATGGTGATTAAGTCACGAAGGTGGCGCCTCCATGAGTGGGATCGGGAACTTCATTAGAAAGATGGAAGGGAGC